GTAAATCCTAAGATTTCAATAGGAATTTCGGTTTTTTTATTCAAGTTCTGAGACTATGAATTTCTTAACCCATGATTTCTTAAGCATTTCGCAGGGTGTAGGGGGAGGGGGGAAGGCTTCTAAGAAGCACCCCTGCTTCCTAGAAGGCGCGGGCCTTCTCTATAGACGTAAGGCCGAGGCCTTCCAAGAGGCAGGGCGCTTCTAAGAAGCCTTCCCCCCTCCCCCCTACCCCCTTTTGCGCGCCGCCAGGTCTCCTCGCAGGGCCAGGTCTCCGTCCGGCATCCCACGGCCGTCGGGATCTGCGCGAAGCTCGAGGCCGCGGACTTTGCGACGGTCTCGGCGGAGTGGACGCCCAAGCTGGTCGCCAAGGTGGTGGCACACAGCGCGCTGCTGGCAAGGGAGCCGCGGGCCGAGGCGCGCTCGGCCAGGATCGAGCAGGACGTCCTGGCGGAAAAGCACGACAAGGCCCAGCGGGCCTACGATCGTGCTCAGGCGGCGGCGCTCAAGGCTGTTTCGACGGCGGCGGCTGCCAAGCAGGAGCTTGACGAGGCCAAGGAGCGCTGCGCTGAGCCCGCAGCGCAGGCTGCCAAGGCCTACCAAGGCATGGCCTCGAGCACCAGCCCTGCACTCGCACTCTCGGCGCTGGCGGACGGGTTCAAGGCGGACCCCAGGCTGGCGGCCTTCGCGCAGCAGCTGCAGGCGCTGGTGCCCACCCCGCAGGAGCTTTCGAGGCCACCCGGGCCCGACGTCATCTTCGCCGATGGCGATGCAGGTGATCCGCCTGTGGCTGCTCCAGGCGGCACTGCGTCTCCTGCTGCTACTGCGGTGCCTGCAGCCGCCGTTGTGCCAGGCATTCCCGCCATCGCCCGCGAACGCGATGCAGGTGCCATGGCGCAGGCAGAGGCCGAGGCGCCGCGTGCCGCCGGCGCCGCCGCCGCGGATGCCGCTGCGGTGCGAGCACGAGCCCAGCAGTCGCCGCACGCCGAGCTCCTGCGCTGGATTGAGCAACAGCGCGAAGGGCACATGACGCAGCTGAGCAGCAAGGAGCCAAGCGCGAGTTGGTCAAGGGCATCTTCGACCAGCTCGTGGAGGCTGCCAAGAAGAAGGCTCGTGTGGATGGCGTGGCTGAAGTGAGTATTCAGCCTCAGTTTGGTCACTGTCAACGTTTCAGGGCGCAGCGGATTGGAGGCTGCGCTCATGCATGAGCGTATTCGTGGTGCTCGCGCCGTCGACGTGCAGGAGCATCACATGTTGCGCGCTCAGTGTGACACTCGGGAGCACAAGCTCCGCGTCCTAGGTTGGAAGGCCGCCTTCGCTGCCGCCGCTGTCGCTACGAGCGGCGGCACCGCATGCGGACTACTACAGTGTGTCCCAGCCGCAGCAAGGCCGGCCGAAGTTGAGTGCGTTGGCAGTTCTTTGCGTAACGGTAGAGTGAGAATCCTGCATAATCATGGGCTCGCGCCCCTTGGTTTCTTGTGCGCCAGCGTGTATTCGCACCAATCTGAAGGCCTCTCCAAGAAAAACTGGAGCATCCTCACAGATGTTGGACGTGTTGTCCAGTCTGTCGGTCTACCGTTTGCGATTTGTAGTGATTTTCAGATACCTCCTGAGGAGCTTCAGGGCAGTCTGTGGGTGGAAGCGATTGGGGTCTGTCTCTTCCCGTTCGCCGCCGCCTGCACTAATGCCCCTGTCTCTGCTGGGCGCATCACCGACTACTTCGTCGTTTCGCAGTGGCTCGCGCGCAGTGCCTCTCTTGAGATCGTGTCGGATGCTGGCGCGACGCCTCGCTTTCCCGTTGTGCTCACGCCGCCGTCGCTACCGCAGGCTGGGCTCGAGTATCGCGCCGTGCAAGTGCCTCGTCGTTTTCCTTCAGATGCCCCCATCGCGTGCAGGGGGGCGGACCCTACTCCGCGCTGGACGCACTGCGCCCAGCAGATGGAGGGCCTCTCTTTGAATGGGAAGTGGCAGCTGTGGGCCACCAGCGCTGAGTTTGATTTAGCTGACATGCGTGACCTTACCCCTGCAGCTAATCCCGAGTACTTTGGAAGTGCGCAGCCGCTGCAGTTTGCACAACGTAGGCCGCTGTCCCCACAGGCGCTTGCTTTCCCAGTCCTCAGTCCTGCCGCTCTTTTGGTGGCGCCTGCTCGCTCGCTGTTTCTAAGGCCTAGCTCGCTGGCAGCTTCCCAATTTAAGCGCAGGCGCCATGCGGCTAGGGCGCAGTGCCTGTGGTGTTTCGTCGGAAGAAGCTGAGCCATGGATACTGCTGCTTCAGTTGGCCCCGGTGTTTAATAAGGCGGGGCGTGGCAAGCGAGCTGGCTGGAGCGATTGGGTGCGACGGCGCTCCGTCGACGGCGCTGCTGCACTGTGCGCTTTTTTTGAAGCTTGCTGTTCCCATGCGCGCCAGCTCTTTGCAGCTGGCAAGCCCTGCGCGCTTCAGGGGGGGGGGGGGGGGGGGGGGGGGGGGGTGGGGGGGCGGGCGTGGGCTGGCTGGTGGAATGTTGGACATGCCTCGGGCCTGATCAGCTGGCCGTCGAATCTGGGCCCATGTTTTTCGAGGCCCACGCTTGAGGAGCTCGAAGCCTGCGCGCGGTCGTTTCCTCGCCGCTCAGGCTGCGGTATTGATCGGCTGTGCCCTCGGCAGCTGCTTGCTTTATCTAATGGGGCACTCGAAGTCTTCCTCGACATCCTCGTTGAGGTGGGGGAGTCCTGCGCCTGGTCTGCCATCTGGGCCAAGATGGTATTTCTGTCGAAGCGCGATGGTGGCTTTCCGCCCCATCGCGCTCATCCACATTTTAGCGCGTGTTCAAGGGCGGCTTTGGAAGCCGTTCGTAGCTGCGTGGCGACAGCAGCATGAACGCAGTTTTTGGTGGTCCACGGCCGGGCGGTCGTCTGGCGAGTTGGTCTGCAGCGCCGAGTGGGGCCGCGCGAGAGGTTTCTCAAGCGCTCTCATCCTCCTCGACCTTGCCAGGGCCCTTGAGTATGTGAGACATGATGTCCTGTTGCAGGCCGTGCTGCGTGCGGGGTTCCGCGCGCGGCAGCTCAAGCTTTTGGTCGAGCTATACCGTTGCCCTCGCGTGCTCGCCCTTGGCGATGCTGCGTCTACTGCTGCGCGCGCCCTGCAAGCCGTTCTTCCAGGCTGCCATTTTTCAACCATGATGCTGCAGCTGGTGCTTCTGGCACCCCTGGATGCAGTGCAGGCCTCCTTTCCCCCCGTGCATCCTGGCAATGTTGTCGGTGACTTCGGGCTGCAGAGGCTTGGGCGGGAGGGGGGTGTGGTGCTCGAGCTGGCTGGGGCCATGGGCGAGCTACGCACGCAACTTAGCAAGGTCAGTCTGCCTGTTGCCGTAAAAAAGTATCGTGTCGTGGCCTCCTCTGCCAGCCTGCGTGAGAGCCTTAAGGCCGAACTCCGTTCCGTTAGACTCAAGGGTGCTCGCGCTGAGAGGAACCTTGGGATTGACTTCGCCGTTGGAAAAGTGTACGAACAGTATGCGCGTGCCAGCCGCAAGCAGCCTGCGTGCGCTCTAGCGCGCAAGCTACTCACTCTTTCCAGCTTTGTGCGCATGCGCCAGTTGCGCAACATGATTCGCAGTGCTTCCACCAAATCTTGATTCGCATGCGGGTGCAAGGTCTCTGGCACCGCAGGCGCTGATCTCAGACAGGCGCGCGTGCAGCGAGCGCGGGTGCAGGCGCGCATTTTAGACTGTAAGTCGGTCACTTTGATGCTCGTGCTCAGTGAGCGCCGAGGCGTTGACCCTGCGTTCGAGCTGCAGTGCGCGCCGTTGCTTCAGCCAGCCACCGCGGTATGGGGGCGATGGCAGCCGCGCGCGACGCTTGCGCACAGGTTGCGGGATGCGGTTGACAGGCTTCGTGGTAACAGCAACCCTCGGGCGAGTATCCGGGCCCCTTTTCTGCCTGTGCAGCCGCGGCGCTGCGCCTCGGCATATGCGTGCAAGGTTTTGTTTGGCAGCGCTCCACTGCGGGCGAGATTTCCGTGCAGCTGTGTGGCCCGCGCGCTGTCAGTAAGTGGCTCAACGGTGTTGCGCTGCAGTGGTCATGAAAAACAGTGGCCTCCAGAGAGGGAATCCCTGAGCTCTCTCTTGGGCGCGACCTTCAGCCGCTGCGTGGCCTGCTAGCCTCTAAAGTTTTGCGAGCTGACGAGGAGGCCTATCTTAGAAGCGTCGCGCGTGGGGGCCAGTGGCCTCAGCATGGACAGTGAATGGCACAATGCACGGCCGAGCCTCACTGTCAGTTGTGTCGCGAGGCTCCTGGCACGCTGCTTCGCAGGCACGCGCGCTGCGGTGGCCGCCGCGACATCGCCGCTGGTGAAGCCGCGCTTGTATTTCTAGATTACGTGGTCCGAGCGAGTGTTGACCCCCTCCCTCTCCTCTTTGCCGGGAGGCTCCTCGTCCCTGATGCCCTCTTTTTCCTCCTGCCACCTCTGTGCCCGGCAGGTGGTTTGGTGGGGGCCCCGCTGAGATGTCAGGGCGTGTCTTCATGGGCGGCAGTTGGATGGGCCAGCACCTGCCGTCACACGCGCAAGCAGTCGGATGGGCTATAGTCACCGTGCATCCCGAATACCCATATCGCGTCAAGTCTGTGGTGTGTGGCACGACGGCGCACGTCTGTCAAGACACTGACAATGCTGAACTGTTTGCCTTCTATCGAGCTCTGCAACGCAGTGTGCCGGGCAGTGCCTTTTACGCGGGCTCGGCGTTTGTGCACGACGGCGTCCGTTTGCGTGGGCAGGCTTTCTGTTGCTCTTCACGCGCCGCCTGGTCTGAGCTGTGGGTCCAGGTGTGGTGGCAGCGCATCGCGGACTGGGGCGGGGCTGATAACATCGCGATCCGCAAAGTCAAAGGGCATTGTTCAGAGGCCCGCATCCAGTCTGGTCTCTCTTCGCGCTTCGAAAAAGAAGGCAATGTGCGCGCGGGCGACTGGGGCCAGTGGGTTGCCTCAGGGGCCCGAGTTCCCTCTGAGCTCCGTGAGACCCACCAGGCCAA